CTGTTCTGAGTTTGCAGCTACAGGTTGAAAGCGGCGCGGGGCCGCCTCTCCCTGGGGACAGGTGTCCTTACCGAGCTGTAGGTGCGCACGGGTGACGGCCCCCTTCCCCCTGAGGGAACGGGAAGACGCTGAAAATGGGCGCGAGGGGCATCATCTCAGCACTCACCTCTTTCCAGGCCTTTGTCTGATGAACTTGAATTGAGAATGTTAGGCTCGTTGTTAAAGAGATTTCTAATTTTTTTTTTTCTCCTCCCGTCTTCTCCTACTATGTCACAGCTGCGGCTAACTTAGGTAAAGAGTAGGATAGATGGAACTTACCTGGCTTTCCGTTGTTGAGACAGGGCCTTACTCTGTGTAGTGCAGGCTGGCCTCGAGCTGATGACAGTCTTCCCTGTTTAGTCTCCCCAGTGCTAGGATTACATGTGTGAAGCATTGTGCTCGGTCTTTATTGGTGGTGGTTGTGTTTGGGGGCATAGTAACAAGTGCCTCAGCCTAGTCTACTTGAGGATGGCCTTAAACTCCTACGTCTCACTCCCAACTGCAGCGATTACAAGCATAAACCTTGTTTAATTTCTGTCTAATTATTTTTTAATCTTTCAAAATAAGGTCTTGATCTGTAGTTCTGGCTGCCTAGGAGTAGCTATGTAGACCAGGGTAGCTTTGAACTCTTGCCTCTGCAACCCAAGTGCTAGTGAGACACCTTGCTAGGCAAACAAATAGGGAGAGGCACCATGGCTAGAAAATAAAGGTGGCAAATTTCCAAGATGGACATCTTCTTCCCCCCTCCCAACTCCAGACAAGACCGACAGCCTAAAACTAAGCCCAGGCTTTCTGGGCTTTTGTCTCCCACCAGCAGGCCCCTGCTAATTGACTGGCTCAACAAGTTCAAGGCCTGCTTAGGACATGTTGCACAACAGTTCTGGGCCAATCAACACTCTTCAAATGAAACAACCTCAAATTAGAGGAGGAAAACTCTTCACAGGCTTTAAAACCCCAAGGCTCAAAAAAACCCCAGTAGTTTCCTGGGTAGTACCCCCTCCACTTTGCAGAGGGTCCTTTTCCCTGTGTTTCTGCTGGTACATGTGTCCTTGCCCCCAGTAAACACTTGTCTTCAACTGCGGATTCTGTCCGTAGTATTTGAGATTTCTCTGATGCTACCTGTTGAGCTTGAGATTTTTCTTGCCTTTTAATTCTTTAACTGACAGAAAAGATGAACCCCATCTAGACCCCTAGTCTGTCTCATCCCCAGACTCCTAGATAGTATTAGTAGGATCACTGTTGTGCACCTTGGCTTTTGCATTGAGTTTTACTGCAGAAACACTATGGGAATCCTGAGATACCTTTGTGAGAGAAAAAAGGGTCTAAGAAAATTTGTGTTGAAAATTTTGACTTGACTGGACTTGACTATTTGCCATTTGTTTTTTTTTTTTTTTTTTTTTTTTTAGGAAATGGCTAAGAACTAATTAGGAATGGACTGAAAGATTTATCAGTGTTTATTTTCTTTTTATTATTTTTAATTTAATTTTTTATATACCAATCCCAGTTCTCCCTCCCCCCCTCCCACTCCCCCACCTTTCCCCCCACCCATCCTGTTATCATTTTGTAAAAGTTTAAAAATTAGAAAAGAATGGTGAGATGGAAACCGGGCACGATGGAACACAAACCGTAGAGAGTACTCATGGAGTTTATTACAGGGCAGGAGAGAAAAAGAGAATGGAAGAGGAAGAGGAAGGGGAGAGAGCAAGCAGAGAGAGGAGAGGGGCAGTAGTGGTCCACCAACCGGAAACAGAGAGGAGCGGGGATGAGGTCATGGGCTTAAAAGGGGCTGGAGCATGTGCTAACCATGATGTGGCCACGCAACACAGGGCCCTTTCAGTTGTCTAAGAATCTGCCTGAATCTTTCAATCCCCGTCAGCTCTTCAAAGAGGGTAAGGCCTACCACAGGGAGTCAACACAGTCTGTGCCATCACCAAGTTGAGGCAGGACCAAGGCCCTCCCCTGTGTCTAGGCTGAGCAAGGTATCTATGAGCGCCCACTAGCTCGGATCAGCTGTTTCAGAGGGTTTCCCCATCATGGTCCTATCTCTTTGCTCATATGATCCCTCCTCCCTCTCTTTGATTCTACTCTGGGAGCTCAGCCCAGTGGTTGGTTTATTTTCAAGGGATTAACACTGAACTGGGAAAACAGGGCACGAGTGTTTACAGCATTTCTGCATCTGACTCCCTTAAGAGACAGACACAGTCCAAAGTGTTGTTTTTCTAGACTAGATAGGTCAGTACTAACATGAGGTGGCAGGACCAGCAGATTCCATCTCTGGTCATTCCTCTTGTAGTTAATCCTCACCAACAGACCTCATTGAGACTAAGCAATAAAGGTCCACCAAAATCTCAAACTAAACTTGAACTTAGTTTTGACAGTGTAAAATTTATTTAAACTGTTCTTGAACATATTTGTTTTCACAAATCTCTTTAGTGAGGATTCTGTGCTGCTACACCAAATTCACATCCTGATAATCACAACTAAAAATTTAAAAAAAAATACCGAGGAAAACAAAAAACCTATATAAATGATATTTGAAATGTATAGTAAACCATAAGCCCGTTATTTTGTATGATAATTTTAAAACAGCATAATAAATAATACTTACAATCCAAAAGTAGAAAGTGTAAACTCTTAAAATATGAATAGAGTTGTGAAGCCAACGTTGAGAACATTTGCTCAATTGTATTTGATATTTATGAAATCAAGGGTCCTTGAGGGAAAAAAAACACTTGAGGATGTCACTGGGTCAAAATAATTTTTTTTTTTTGAGTCAGGGTTTCATAATGTAGGTAGCTATGACTGTCTAGGAACTTGATATGTAGACCAGGCTGGCCTTGAACTCAGGGATCTACTTGGCTCTGCCTCCCAAGTGCTGGGGTTAAATGCCTGGCTGAATAAGATATTAACTCATTGAAGAGTTAGCGACGAATAATTAAACTACGTGACAGCATTGATGTAGAGGTTAGGAAGAAAAGATCAGAATCCAGAAGTCAGTGGTCTTTTCATTATTGCTAAAAAGACTATAAAAAGTCAGTCACTATAGATATAATTGAATTAAAAGGCAAAGATACGAGGATGGGAAAAATCCAACTTTCATTTTGGAAAAATCCAAAGGATAAGTCAATACAGATGGTTAAATATAAAAGGCTATGAGAGAATAATACTAATAAAAAGAAACGTGGCTTACAAGTGTATCATTGCCAGAGATGGAAAATACTCCTGCACTACTAATGGAAAACGATTTAGTTTTCTATTTTGAAATGACATTTTAAAACTAGTTTGAGACTAATTATATAGCTTCAAATACATTTAAAAATTGACAGACAAAATTAATCACCATTTAGAATATTCAAATATAATCTAGTATTTTATTTATCAGAAAACAGTAATAAGGATGTTGTACATCCAGCAGAATTTTTGCAGTGGGTGGAAGTTATGGGGCAGTCGAGTTACATGGGACAGGCAAGCCTTGAAGTGCAGCCAGTATGACCAACAAAATGGGTTTTAAAAAATTTAGCTGATTATGATGGCGCATGCCTTTAATCCCAGAACTTAGGAGGCAGAAGCAGGTGGGTCTCTATGAATTTCAGGCCTGTCTGGTCTATATTATATGTTCCAGGCCATCCAGAGCTATATAGAAAGACATTGTCTCAGAAAAGGGAAAACTTTCCCAAAAAGAGAATTGGGTAGAGAGCTGGGGAAAGTATGTTCAAAAGCCATTATTAATATTTATTTAATTTTCATTTTTATTTACTTATTGTTATTTGAGACAGGGTTTCTTTATGTAGCCCTGCTGTCCTGGAACTAAATGTAGACCAAGCTGGCCTCAAACTCACAGAGATCCACCTGCCTCTGTCCTCCAAGTGCTGGGATTAAAGGCGTGCGTCACCAACGCCTCGCTATTTTACCCATTTTCTATATTATCTGTGTATAATATCTCTCCATGGTTTAGAGCACTTGTTAACTCTTGCAGAGGACCCAAGTTCAATTCCCAGCACCCATATGGTGACTCAAAACTATCTGTAACTACAGTTCCAGAGGATTTGATGCCTTCTGGCCTTCATTGGGGTGTCCATATGTACATTCAGGTCAAACACTCATAAAACAAAAAAATATAATAAAAAAGTAAAGGAAGAGACACCTATCAGATATGGAAGCATGTTCACACAAGTCTGGGTTGGTGTTAGATGTGAACTTAGACTTTGGGTGGGAGGCTGTTGAATAGTTGGAGTCCATCTACCTTCTGCATGCATTTGGGATTCTTCACATACCTGCTTGCCTGTGTCTGCCCCATTGACACAAAGTGGAGCATAGACATGATTTCAGATTTGTGAGCAAAAATTAATCACTAAATTTTAGGATGGGTTGATACATAGCAAGACCTGTCTGAAATAGAGAGCTAGGGAATATGTTAAAATTTCTTCAAATGCAATAGCATACCCTATGTAAGAATTAAAACATTTTATCCTGTATTAGTTACAGTGCTGCTGGCCAGTGACTAGGATTTCTTATTTGTTAGCTCAATCTTAATTATCAACCATAACTACTAATCTATATAGTTTTATAAGGACTTACCTTATGCATCCTGTCTTCCTGGGATCACATGGCGACTCCTCTTAACTATATTCCCAGAATCTTTCTCTCCTAGTTCTGCCTATCTTGCTTCCCTATTGGCCAACAGTGTTTTATTCATTCAGGCTCCAAAGCAATACAGAGAAACCCTGTCTTGAAAAAACAAAACAAGAATCACAACATTTTTGTCCAAAAAATGTTATTTCTCAAATTTATCTGTGGAATTTGATGCATTTCCGAACACAGTCTGAAGAGTTTTACAAAAGTGAAAATCTTCATATTTGTAGAACATCAGTGGGCCAAATAAGCCAAGGTACTACTATAAAATAAATGGATGGGATTTGTCATAGTATGTATCAATAATTACTATGCAGCTAAAGTTAATAAGATCACAATATTGATAAAGTGACAGAAAAATTAACCCATAGAAGAGAAAAAAGATGGCAAAAACAAACTGTCAGGTAAAAGAATTTGATTTATGGTAGATAATAGCATCACAGATTAGTAGGTAAATGTTGAGTACTTATTATTATTGAATGAATTTTTTGTGACAGTCTTACGGTATGTAGCTCTGGCTGGCCTGGGACTCACTATGTAGACCAGGATGGATTTAAACTCAAAAGATCCACCTGTGCTGTGATTAAAGGCATGTGCCAACACACCTGACCTTGTTTTTATTCATTGATTTTTGTGTAGTGTGTGTGTGTCTGTGAACATGCCATGTCATTGTCAGATGCCCACTTGTAGGGGTTAGTTCTCTGCTTCCATTATGTTGATTCCAGAGATCAAACTTTGGGTCCTCAGGTTTGGCCTTTAACTGCTGAGCAGTGTTACCAGCCCAATAATGGCTTTAAAAATTTTTTTTTACCTTTATTTATTTATTGTGTGTGTGTGTGTGTGTGTAGGTCAGAGGACAACTTGAGAGAAAAGCTTAACTATATGGTAATATTTTGTCTATTTTTCTAATATTTTCAAAAATTATTATGAAATATACATGTAACATTTTCTTTCTTCCCTCTTTTTTGTTTGTTTGAGAGACAGGGCTTCCAATGGTCTTGAACTTGTTCTGTAGTGGATGACTTACATTTTTAATTCTACTGCCTCCTTTTCAAGTACAGGCATTACAGGCATGCACCCCGGTTCCTGTGGTGCTTCAGATCAAAGTCAGGGCTTTGTGCATGCTAGGTGAGCGTGATATCAACAGAACTGTACCTAGCCCCAAGGGAAATTTTCAGTGTCTGTCTTAATTAGGATTTCTATCACTGTGATGAAACACCATGACCAAAAAGCATGTTGAGGAGGAAAGAGTTTATTTGGCTTATGCTACCATGTCATTGTTCAGCATCGCAGGAAGTCAGGGCAGGAACCTGGAGGCAATAGCTGAAGCAGAGGCCATGGAGGGGTGCTACTGACTTGCTTTCTATTGCTTGCTCAGCTTGCTTTTTTATAGAACCCAGAATCTGCTTCCCAGGAATGGCCCCACCTACAGTGGGCTGAGCCCTCCCACATCAATCACTAATTAAGAAAATGCCCTACAGGCTTGCCTGCTGCAGATCTTATGGAGGCATTTTCTTAATATAGGCTATCTTCTCTCCAGTGACTCTAGCTTATGTCAAGTTGACATCAAACCAGCCAGCACCAGATCAGAATGAAAAAGTATGTTTGGATTTGTTTGTTTGTTTTAAGGAAGCTAGGTAGGAGTCCTGGACTTGGAATTGCTTTCTTTATTTGGTATTTGGGAGTCACCCTGTCTCACTGGCCTCGTGTCATCAATCCTACAGCACAGGAGGAAACGGCGTTCCACGCCATTAGCCCCCACCACACCACCTTCACAAACAACAGAGAAAAGCCCATATTTTCAGACCACAGAAATCTCACTTTGGACAGTGGTGGCCGCTATTCAGGCTGTGGAGAAGAAGATGGAATCCCAGGCTGCTCGACTACAGAGCCTTGAGGGACGTGCAGGGACAGCTGAGAAGAAGCTGGCTGACTTTGAGAAGACAGCTGTGGAGTTCAGCAACCAGCTGGAGGGCAAGTGGGCTGTGCTGGGGACCCTGCTGCAGGAGTACGGACTGCTGCAGCGGCGGCTGGAGAACGTGGAGAACCTGCTCCGCAACAAGAACTTCTGGGTCCTGCGGCTGCCCCCTGGCAGCAAGGGGGAGGCCCCCAAGGTAGAACCTCTATGCTTAAAAGTTAGGAAAGAAGGGGCCCAGCCCTTGATTAGTCAAGATGTTAAATCACTGGCTTGTACTCATGATGAATCAAAGCGCTTACTCTTGTGGCTTACATTTGTAGGTGTCTGGATCCATTGAGAATGATGGGGTCTGTTTCTCGGAACAGGAGTGGGAAAACCTGGAGGACTGGCAGAAGGAGCTCTACAGAAATGTCATGGAGAGCAACTATGAGACTCTGGTCTCTCTGAGTGAGTGGCAGTTTTCTTCCTGAATTCTCTCAGGGCCCTCCTGGTTGCATCGGACACTCTGCGGGTCTCTCATCCTGTGATCCGTTGCTGGGAGGAGAAATGAGTCTCCAGGTCCTCTCACCTACAGAGGCTTGAGAAGGTCTCAGGGATGAGCCTTTTGTATTTCTTTTCTGGTAACACAATCACTTCTTGAAACTATGTATGATGATACTGTATTTAATACATAGCTACAAAGTGTCTCTTACTTTTCTATTGCTATATAACATACTGACTAAGGCAATTTATATATATATAAAAAATTATTTGGGGCTTTTGGTTTCAGAGGATTAGTTAGAGTCCTTGATAGCCAAGCAGAGGTAGCAGGTGGCAAGTGGCTGGAATAGCCCTGAGAGCTCATATCTTGAACCTCAAGCAAGATAGAGAGAAAACAAACTCAAATTGGCTTCAGTCTTTTAAAACCTTAAAGCCTACCCCCCACTGACTTGCCTCCTCTAACAGGCTATACCCCCTAACTTTTCCCAAATTGTTCCACCAACTGGTAACAAAGTTTTCAAACATATGACCACTATAAATATAATAAACTTTTGTTTTGTTTTGTTTTGTTTTTTGAGACAAAACCTCTCTATGTAGCCCTGGCTGTCTTAGAACTCATGGTGATCAGGTTGGCCTTGAACTCAAAGAGATCCTTCAGTCCTCTGTCTCCCAAGTGCTGGGATCTGATGTGCCACCATGTCTAGCTAAGGTGCTATTTTTAATATTTAAGATTGTTTGATGAGAAATCCTGTAACGTTGGAACTGATGAGGTCGCCCAGTGGATAGAAGTGCTTGCTATACAAGCCTGATACCTGCATCCAGTCCCATGATGGAAGGAGACAACGGACTCTTTAACTAGCTCCCCAATCATGACACAGAGATTTACTATCAGTTATGAATACTTGGCTTTATCTTATGCTTATATTGTTCCACTCGCTCTTATAACTTACTTTAACCTTGTTTTTTTCATTTGTGTTTTGCCTTGGGGCTTTTTACCTTTCTTCCATTCTATAAGCCCTATTTTCACTGCTTTCTCCGTGTCTGGGTGGCAGCTGCCTAGCTGACCCACGGGCATCTCCCCTCTCTACTCTCTTTCTCTCCAGAGCCTAGATTCCTCCTCCTACATATTCTCTCTGCCCACCAGCCTCGCCTATCCCTCTACTGCCTAGCTATTGGCCATTCCGCTTTTAATTAGGCCACTATCACATGGTTTACACAGCAGCACATCTTTACATAATTAAACAAATGTAACACATCTTTACACAGTTAAATCAGTATTCCACAAGTTGCCTTCTGGTCTCCACATGTGCACTATGGTACAGGTGTACCTAAACTCTTACATACTCTATGTATATACCCACATAAATAATAAAATTAAAATGTTTTAAAGGGAATCTTTAACGAGATATTCAGCACAGGCTGACAAAACCCTTTTTCTTGGCAGTTTATTAGCCAGTGTCATCACCAGCCACTTCGGTCTTCATGTTTATTTGTTAGGCTAGAAGTACTAGCTGGAAGTGTTTTATATAAATATTAATAATACATGCTGTATAGTGAATGTATTGTTTTCTTGTTAGATAAATTCTTTTAAAATGTGGGTCCTTGGAGAAATACCAAAGAGGCCACTGGCTGGACCTTATGAGTGGGTCAAACAGTTGACTATAAACTCTCTTGAGTTGTCCTGTGTCACAGAGCCTGACTTACCTGGCACAGCCTCAGCAAGGAGGTCAGGAGGATAAACTTGGGCACAGTGAAAGAACCCTTGGCAAAACTTCAGCTGTATGGGCAGAGGTGGGGTGCTATGTGGACATTTGTCCTGAGCCTGGTAGCCCTAATGAAGGAACACCAGAAATTAGGGCCAGCTCAGGCTGTCGAGCATGCAGAGTGAGGAGAACACTCTTCCATTGCTGGTGGAGTGCAAACTTAGCCACTTTGGAAATCAATATGGCGGTTTCTCAGAAAATTGGTAATTGATGTACTTTAAGACCCTCAATACCACTCTTGGGCATATACCCAAAGGATACTTAATCATACCGCAAGGACACTTGCTCAACTATGTTCATAGCAGCATTATTTGTAATAGCCAGAAACTGGAAACAATCTAGATGTCCTTCAACCAAAAAATGGATAAAGCAAATGTACATTTACACATGGAGTATTACTCAGTTGTTAAAAACAATGACATCCTGAAATTTTCCATTGGCCAGAAATGTCTAGGGAAAATTGGCAGTAACATTATCTCTTGTGTCTTTTTAACTGTTAATATTGATTCCCTGGCATTGGTCATTTCTGTGGCATCAGACCAGCATGATGTAAGTTTTATTCTCTTGAACTCACACTGTATCTTTTCCAACTCAGAGGTCCTTGGGCAGCCAGAAGAAGAAGCAGAATTGGGTGCAGAGATGGTGGGTGACTTGGTGGAAGAAGGTACCCACCTGGGTGAGTAGTTCTAGAATATTCTTTCATCTTTTTTCTCTATCCCTACCTGCAGGTTCCTGTAGCTTATAGGGAGCTTTCCCACAGTTGAACTGCCAAATAGTATCAATAATCTCGTCTGGCCCAACAGGTGGACTCCTGTTTGGTTTTGTTGTTGTGTTTTTGTTTATTTTCTTTTTTTCAAGACAGGTTTTCTCTGTGTAGGCATGGCTGTCCTGGAACTCCTTTGTAGACCAGACTAGCCTCAAACTCAGATCCATCTACATCTGCCTCCCTGGCCCTGGGAGCTACCATTGCCCAGCTTGTTTGTTTGTCTTTAAAGGTTTATTTTTTTATTTATGTATGCATATGTGTCTGTGTGACTGTATGATGTGTGTGGGGGTATCCATGGAGGGCAAAAGAGGGGGTTGAGTCTCTTAGAGCTGGAGTTACAGATGATTGTGAGCCACCTGACGTGGGTGTTGGAAACGAGTACTCTTCTTCAATGGGCCATCTCTCTGACCTCACTGCTTGTTTTCGAGACAAATCTTACTATAATAGCCTGGACTCACTATGTAGCTCTGGCTGGCTTTGAACTCATGATCCTCCTAATTCTACCTACTGAGTAGGATTACAGTTGTGAGCCATCATACTTTACTAGAACTGTTACAGGTGTTTCTTAACTCTTGCCAGTCTTTGGAGTGGTGCAGATTGTGTAGCATGCTTTTTCATGCCCTGTAAGTAATAGACATAATAAGCTGTCTGTGGTCAGAGTGAGTGGTGGGCCATGAGCTATAGGGCCAAGGAAGAAAGAAACTAGGAAAGGCATTTGAGCAGAGTATGCAGGAAGAACAAAACTGGGCATGTGAGTTTTTAAATTTTATTTTGTTTTACTAGTTTATGTGTATGGATGCTTTGTCTGTGTCTTTGTACTTCATGCTTGAAGCATAGACCCTATCATATCTCTTGAAACTGGAGTTACCAGTGGTTGTGAGCTACCATGTGGGTGCTGGGAATTGAATTTGAGTCCTCTGCAAGAACAGCTGGGACTCTTAACCACTGAGTCCTCTCTCCTGCTCCTGGGTGTAAGATTTTTCAAACTATCAGTTTAGTGTGTTAAACACAGGGCCTTGCACATGCTAGGCAAGTGTGTGTGGCTGACCTTTTTCTTCAACCCCTTTGTTAAAAAAATCTTTTAAAAAATTTGAGATAGGGAGTTTCAGACCAGCCTGGTCTACAGAGTGAGTTCCAGGACAACCAGAACTATTACACAGAGATACCCTGTCTTCAAAAACAAACAAACAAACAAAAAAACCCAAGAAATTTTAGGTAGGGTCTCACTTAATTGCTTGCACTGGTCTTGAGCCTGCTCTGTAGCCTAAGCAATCTGTTGTTACCTTGTGACCCTCTTGCCTTATCTTTCTGAGTAGCTGGGATTACAGGCTTGCATCTCTAGACCCACCTTGAAATTTGTTGTTTTAATACTTTGGAATTAATCACTTGCTACAGTGTGTTTTGTCATTTTTCATAGAGTAATACCAGTTTATAGACAAATTTGGAGAACTATAGTCACATTGTTCTCTAAGAGTGAGGTGTTCAGCTCCTCCTCCAGATTGTGCTCTATAAGAGTGAGGTGTTCAGACCTCCTCCAGACTGTCCTCATTCAGTTGTCCTAAGAAATTTTGCTTTGAGTCTTCAGAAGTCCAAGCATTTGGCTCTGGAGATACCAAAAGTGCTGGAATATGATCTTTGTTGGTCTTTTTCCTTGCAGCAGATAGGGCCATGGTTAAACAGGAGGGCCCTGCAGGTCTTCCCAGCATGTTTTCCAGTGCTGCTGAACAACAGGCTTTCTTTGGCGCGGAGCAGGCTGTGTTCTGGAATAGTCCAGAAGATCCTGCTCTCTTGGAATCAGGCCCTGGGGACTCTAACCCTCAGTCTGTTGAGGACAGTAGAGACCCTGCCCCTGGTAGAAAACTGAACTGCCCCCGAAAACAGAAGTCTCACAGGCAGGTACAATTGGGTCAGGAGTGTGGACAAGGCCTGAAGGTGAAAAGGGACACCAGCCCATACAAATGTTCCGAATGCCAGATCAGCTTCCGCTACAAGCAGCAGCTGACTGCACATATGCAGAGCCACGTGGGCAGAGAGTCTTACTCAGCCACAGAGCCAGAGGAGAGCCTTAGGCCCAAACCACGGCTGAAGCCACAGGCCAAGAAGTCGAAGCTGCATCAGTGTGATGTGTGCCACAGGAGCTTCAGCTGCAAGGTCAGCCTGGTGACCCACCAGCGCTGCCACCAGCAGGAGGGCCCCAGCACCAGTCCACATATCCAGGAGAGATTCTCACCTAACAGCTTAGTTGCTCTACCTGGCCACATCCCTTGGAGGAAAAGTCGGAGTTCTCTCATCTGTGGGTACTGTGGCAAGAGTTTCAGCCACCCATCTGACCTGGTGCGGCACCAGCGCATCCACACAGGTGAGCGGCCCTACAGTTGTCCCGAGTGTGAGAAGAGCTTTGTTCAGAAGCAGCACCTCCTGCAGCACCAGAAAATTCACCAGCGGGAGCGGAGTGCCCTGGCTCCAGAGCATGGAAGGCCCAATGGCCTGCTTTAAGGTTGCCAGCCCCTCACCGTCCGGGGGTGGAGGGGGTTGGCATGAGTCCCCCGCAGAGACACTACATAGTCAGGCTGACTTCTTCCTGAGAATTGTTTCTGCTTTGCCCCCCTTGGCTAAGCACAAAGGCTAGTCTGAGACAAGGAGAGATCTAAGGCCCAGCCTCTGCCCTCTAGGCCCTGCTAGTGGGTTTGCTGTTTCTTTAGCCCTTTGGGTCCCTGTTTCTGGTGTACTGTCACACCACAGGGACTAGTGGCCAGTTCCAGGGCCCATCCTAGCATTTCACACGTCTTCCCACAGTTAAATGGGGCCACAGAGGTATGTGGAGAATTCTAGGAAGTATTACCTTCCATTTTGTAGCCTCCTTGTTAATAACTAGTATAAATAATTTAAATGAACTGCTTAGGTTGTTCTAAAGACCCCCTTTTGGAGTTAGATTCTTGTTGATTTTTTAAAAACATAGCTTAAAACTTGTTTTCTAAATTTTAAGAGTTGTAGAAGTTGTTCCTAACCTGGGAACTGAGCCTACCCTCCAGGAGGGAATAGCTATGGGCTCTTTTAGCCCACCCACACTTAACATAGATTGGAGAGCCAAAACACACTGCTGGGTTCCCTCAGTGGGTTGCTGAGATGGGGCTAGTTTTCTCAGGTGGGCCAAGAGGAAGCCCCTGAAGTCCCTGCTGGATGTCAAGATTTCTGTGAAGAAGCTGAAAGTTCAGTTCTGGGGAGTTTGGTGTCTCATGTACTCTCCCCCTCTCTGTCCCTGGCTTTGCTGTGTTTCTGCAGCTCTGTGGGGGCAGGGAATATGGAAGACTGAGCTTGATTCTGTTATAGCAGGTATCACTTGAAGTTGCTCAGATTAGACTTTCCAGTGTCTGTCCCAGAGATGGAGGAGGAAAAGCACAGGGGTTTGTCTCAGGAGTGTTGAGTACCTGCCCCACTGTCATTTGGGGAGGGAGGTGAGAGTGGGTTCATTGGTATATGTGAATGTATCCTTGGATGATTTACAGTTGTCTGGAATAAATCTTGTTACTTGCATTTAAAAAAAAAAAAATCACATGGGATGTTTTCTGTTTATCAAGAATTGTCACCGGGAGTCAAGTAGAGAGAGATTCCTCACCAGGCAGCCTAGGCTGAACCTACAGTGGACCAGGGATATTGTTGCTTCTACAATTATATACCTTAATGTCAAGGTTAGATTCTTTTTCCCTGTTCACAGAAGTATGGTCTCCGTCCCTGCTAGGAGTTTGAATGTAGCGTGGACTCAGACTCCATCTGAGACCTCTGGGTTGTATTTTTTTGAGGGGGCTGCTGGGAGGAGACAGTACCGCCCTGACTGTCCTGGTACCCTCTTTGTAGACCACACCAGCCTTCAACCCAGAGATCCACCTTCCTCTGCCTCCAAAGTGCTGGGATTAAAGGCATGTATTAACATTGCCTGGCAGAATTTACATTAAAAAATACTATTTTAGGTTTTTTAGAGGTGGGGTTTCATGTGGTCCAAGTTGGCCTTGAACTTGCTGTGAAGTTGAAGTTACCCTTGATCTCCTGATCTTCTCATCACCATTTCTCAAGTACCACCATACTAAGCAACAATTTTTTAATGCCATCATATAGACTTTTATTGCAATCATAAAACTTGAAATTCATATGTTGCAGGGGTTAGGGACAAAATTATACCTTATCCCACCAAGTCACTGCACAGGGCTGCAGGAAGTAAGAAGAGACTAAGGAAAAGCCAGGAAGTCAAGATCAGCAGAGAGCCAGGCTTCCAAACCCCAGAGATGCTGTGATGGTCAGTGTCATTTTCTCAGAGAACTCTTAAGGCTTTGTCACGATGGCTGGGTGTACCTGGGGTAGAGCATCTATAGACAACACCTGAACAACACCTTTAGTTTAAAATTTCCATTCAAGTCTGAAAGTTTAAGAAGTGGAGCTTGGATAGATAAGATTACAAAACTTGTGAAAAATCCATTAGAAAAACAATAGGATTTTTATTTGTTTGTTTTTCAGAACAGGGTTCCTCTGAGTAGTCTTGGCTGTCTTGTAACTTGCTCTGTAGACCAGGCTGGCATGGAACTTAGAGATCTGCCTGCCTCTGCCTGCTGAGTGCTGGGATTAAAGGCGTGTGCCACCAACACCCAGCCCATAGGATTTTTTATTTTATAGGCTAGGTCACAAAGAAGGCTTTAGAGATCCCTGCTTGCCCAGGGACAGATACTATAGTGTCCAACACATGAAGGAACCTGTTTTAAAAGGCAGATAGCTTATGAAGATGGGAGGGGCTGTCAGAGGCAAAGGCTCCCTCCCTCCCCACTTGAGCTTGGATAGGACTTTGAATTAACAAAAGGACCTCCCTCAATTTGGAGAAAAATCAGTAGCACCAGAAATCCACCATGGCTTTGCATTATGGCAGCAAGATTGTCTTAATGTATAATAGATAATTTCATTTAAAAAAAAAAAAAGATTAAAATTCCTGCATCCCCACCCAAACAGCAATTCCTATCTAGAGTTAACCCATCACTTGTGTTGTCAGTACTTATATAGTATCCTTCCTTGGAAACCTATATGGAAAGATAGAAACTGAATCTTCATTCAAAACAAAATGAGTAACTTGGGGCTTATGACGTATAGTTTTGGTCAACACACAAGAACAGGAAGAGGGCATGGAGGTTTCTGAATCAAAACTCAGTGGTAGCTATCTATGCAAAGCGGAGACGTTGGGGAAACTCAGGTCCATGTGTACACAAAAATTATTTTTTTTTTGAGACAGTTTTTGTGTAGCCCTGGCTGTCCTGAAACTTACTTTGTAGACCAGGCTGGCCTTGAACTCAGAGGTCCACCTGCCTCTGCCTCCCGAGTGCTGGGATTAGAGGTGTGCGCCACCATGTTTGGCACATACATCTTAACATCCTTATGGTACTATCAGTAGCACGGTTTTTTGTTTTAGTTTTTTTTTTTTTTTTTTTTAACACTTGTATGTATATGAGTGCATGCATGTTGTGGTGTATCTGTAGAGGTTAGAGGACAATTTGTAGGAGTTAGTTCCCTCCTTTCCTGAGTACGAGTTCCCAGGGATCAAAATCAGATTCAGGTTGTCCATCTTGGCGTTGGCCTTTTTTTTTTCCAGCTTGCTATGTAGCCTGGACTTGAATTCACTACTGTTCTCTGACCTTCAGCCTCCTAAATGCTGGTATTTCAGGTGCGAGCCAGCATACCAGACTCCTAGGCACTGTTTTAAATGAAAAACCTTACTTGCCTGTTTCAACTGTCAAACATTGAAAGGTTGCTCTGGGAGGTGTGGAGAAGGTGGGGAGTGGACTGGGAAGTTAGACATGACACACAGGGCAGCAACGTCACATACCCAGATAAGCTGACATGCCTACAGTTAAGTTTCTAATGGTCACTCACCTGACTCCAGTCAGATTAGCTAATCCCATCACCATATGGCCTTCTGGAGCTGCTGGACATGGGCTTTCTTCAGAGTTTTACCTTGGCATCCCCAGTTGCTCATCAAGGCTTCTACTGTCTTTCCATTTGTGTTGTAGTCACATTATTCTTTCTGTCCTGAATAAACCTTTTGCCTTTTTGGTATTTTGGTGTCTGAGTTCTTTTTTGAGAGAGTTTCTCTCATCTGTTTACCCTTTGTGTGTGAGCTGATTGTGGAATAGTCCTTTACACTATGATTGGTTTAATAAAAAGCTAAACAGTCAATAGCTAGGTAGGATTTTGGGGACAGAAAACACTGGTAAGAAGAAGGCATAGTCAACAGCCAGACACAGAGGAGGCAGCATGGGCATTACAAAGTAAAGGTAACTGAGCCACGTTAAAGAATTAGTGAGTATTTATGTCATGGTTCAGGAACTGGTCGGTAGGACAGAAAAATCTGCCAACATGGGCACGTGTGCCATGGCACACAGTGGAGATCAGAAAACAACCTAGAGTTCTTTCCTTCTACCATGTGGGAATGCTGATCAGACTCCAGGTGGTAGACTTGGCAGCAAACACCTTTACTCACTAAGCCATCTTTCTTTTCCTCAGAAAGCAAATAAATGATGGGTACTTGTTATGTTGGCAGTTTTAACACTTGGGATACATCAGTGAACAGAACACATCGACTGTAGTTTGTTTTCTATTAGAATCTTGTTTTGGTTTTTTTGAGGCAGGATTTCTCTATAGCTTTGGAGCCTGTCAAGAACTCACTCTGTAGACCAGGCTGGCCTCGAACTCACAGAGATCCACCAGTCTCTACCTCCCAAGTGCTGGAATTAAAGGTGTGCACCACCACTGCCCAGCATAACTAATTATTTTTTAATTTTTTTGTTGTTGCTGTTTTTGCTTCTGTTTCTTTTCTTTTTTTCTTTTCTTTTTTTTTTTTTTTTTGAGATTGGTTTTCTCTGTATAGCTTTGTAGAGCAGGCTGGCCTCGAACTCAGAGATCTGCCTGCCTCTGCCTCCCGAGTGTTGGGATTAAAGGCATGCGCCACCACTGCCCAGTTTAAAGTTTTATTTACTTTGTGTGTGTGTATCAGAGGACAGCTTTGTGAAGTCAATTCTCCCCTTCTTCTCTTATGTGAGCCCAGGAAGTTGAACTCAGATCCTTAGGTTTGCATCAGCTTGGGCAGCAAATGCCTTTACACAATGAACCAACTTGCCAGCCTCAGAGCTTTTTTTTTTTTTTTTAATCATTTTGGGAGGGTTTTTTTGCTTGTTTTTATTATGTATACAGTATTCGGTCTGCATGTATGCCTCCAGACCAGAAGAGGGCACCAGATCTCATTACAGATAGCTGCGAGCCACCATGCTGGGAATTGAACTCAAGACCTCTAGAAAAGCAGTCAGTGCTCCTAACCTCTGAGCCACCTCTGCAGCCCGAACTAATTATTTTTTTAGAATTATTTTTTAAATGTTTTAAAACACACACATCAAAACAAACCCAAAATAAGAAAAAATGCCAGCTGTAAGTTTATTGGTTTATTGATTAAAGACAATAGAATGCGTGAAACAAAAGCAGGTTTTACTTTGTATTCCAAGATTAATCCTGGCCTTCCTAAGGCTTTGTGGCTTCAAAAGGAAATAGGTCTTAAGTGGAATAGTTTATTCAGGATAGCTCAGGACATGAACTGGTTAGAGAGCCTTACAAATGACCCCAGTAACTGTGCTCCTGTCCATTGTGTCATTTGAACTCCCCTGGCTGGAGGAGCAGGATGGTCAGCCGGGAGCCAGTCCAGACTGGGTGTGGCAGAGAGGGCTGGGAGAAGGGGCTCCGCCGTTGCTGCGCGGATGAGACTCATCAATCCCAGAGGCTAAGAGCCTCAACGGTGGGTTCGAGACCAGGATACCCCGGAAGTACCTCTCTCGGGCGGGCTCTGGCGCCGGCCAGCGCGGCCAGCACGCTACCACCGAGGTGGCCCCAGTCCCGGGCTCGCGTTCTGTTTTAAACGCACTTGGCCCCGCAGGGCTTCCCATCTGTTCTGGAAAACAAAGAACAAAGGGTTTAGAAAGCTT